ACCAAAGTATGTTATAGACTTTTAATTAAGACACTAAAGAATCATATCAACTTGTGGAAAATGGGAATCCGATGACCCCTTTGAAGACTGTTTAACATCCATGAAACCTTTTCATTCCACAAAAAGTTCTTTAGATTATTAAAATGTTCTTCACACTAAGAAAAAATGGTTAGCTTATTAACTGTTCACTGAAGGGCTCTTTGGGGAACTCAAACTGGTTTTTCAATGCCTTCTGGGCTCAGTTCATTTCTTCTGTTCAGTCCGTCAAGGTCAGACATGAGTAAAAAGCTGCTTTATAGTAGAAATTGAAGTTGTAATTCTAATTGAAAGCACCAATGACACTATTTTTTATGTTTTTATGAAAAGTACTTTGCCATGAAGGCCTTTACAATGGAAGTAAGGGGGCAAGATATTCAGCAGGTTTTAAAAGCGGCTCACATTTCTGTACCTAAATTAACCCTTCTGAGCACAATTATTATTTATTTGAACTGTAAAGTTGTCTTCTACTTTTTTTATTTATCCCAATGAAATCCCTTGTACCATAGACTCCTATTGCAAGTGCAATAGGAAAACACAATTTTTATTACAAACTGTGGGGCTAGTTTAAATCATTTTCTCTTGTACTAGGTTATATTGAATTTGAAAGCAGTTTAAAAACAAAAAGGTCCGCCACACTTTATACAAGTCGGTGGATATTTCCCATGCCCATGCATTGGCTGTTAGTTGCATCTGATCATGTTCCATAAACTAAGAAATTAAAAGTAATTACACCAACCTCAATCACATTTTTTCACATGAGGCCTGAAAAATAAATAAACAACTTTATCCAGCTCACCCACAGCTAGATTTCAAATCATACCCGAATGGCTCATTCCACAGGGAACGGTCACAAGGGGAACTGCGTCTAATGTTGAACCGACAAGCATATTAGCTTGATTAATTGATTAACTTCATCGCTGCCTGTACTATTACTCAACTGCATTTTGACACTAAGTCAAGTCAAAAATTAATCTTTCGATTGTTTCAATTTCGTGTAAATCCCCAAAGTACCATTTTTACTAAGCCAATAACAATTGAACTTTCATAGCAGATGACTGATGACATTGATTTCAGTGGGAACCTGTTTGGAGACAACCATGGCATTTATTTATTACTCTAAAGAAATAAACGTACATGTTTAGACATTGCTGAAGATTGACAAATTATCTAACAGTTATAATATTTTGTGTGTTCTAGTGTTATATAATCAGGACACCAATGCTAAAATGCAAAAAGATGTGGGATCATAAAACCTGGACAGCTGGAGCACCAAGATGAACTTCAACATCTTTGTACAAGAGAAGCCGATTCCCTCCTCCAACATATCTCATGATATTTGAAGCAACTGGAAGATGTTTTTAGACAACATTCTACTTGAGACTATTAAAAAATTGCATGAACCTATTCTAAGAAGTTTGGAAGCTGTATTAAAGGCAAATGGTGGTGAAACACCTTAATAAAGAAATATTATATATTCATATATATAGATTAATTATATATACACACTTTTAAATACATTAAAGTTTATAAAGAATACATAAACCAAGCAAACAATGAATGTCTGAAATGGACGTTGTTCCGCTAAAGCATCGAACAGGACCGTATACTTTCGCGAAAGACAAAACTATAGACTACAAATGATAGATTTGTGTCATAAAACATTACAGTACCTTGTATCAACGGCTTCGTAGCAAACCTCACAGTTGAACAACGTGAGTATTTGCGGCGTTTTCTCGCTCCCACAATGCAGCTGAAAGCAGAAGCCCCGCACTTTCCTGAAACCCTGTTGCATTTTGGGAGTTGAAGTCCTATTACTAAGTAAAATTCAGGTCAATGTAAACAAGAATCAGACACCTCAGAATTACACAAGAGGGCAGTATTGAATTGTGGATATTATCCCAAACAATGTCATTCAATTTAATCTTTTAATTAAGTCACAATTAGCAATTATAATAAACATTTTAAAAAATCTTTGTCAATATGTTACAGTAAGTGTTCAACATTTATTTCTGCTTGCTATAATTGAATTTAAAACATGTAACATCGTTAATGTTTTTGTGCACGAAATACATTTTTGACAGATTTCATTAACGATTCTGAAACAATTACTTAGGCTATATGTCACATATTCAACAATAAATTGTTAAACAATGGGAGAAAAAAAAAGCTTTGAGAAGTCATTTGTCTGGTTTTGGCATCATCAAGATGCATTGCTCTAGTCTCAGACATTGTGCAAGGCAGCAATATACGGTCTAAATTTGTTCTGTCATCCTGGTGCTTGATAGACTGATTCTGTGTCTATTCTTAGCAGTAGTCTTTTCCTCTTTGTCTGTAAATCACGGCAGAACAAGAGACCTGGGCTGACAAGAGAAAACGTATCTCAAACCCCGTTGCACACCGTTTCCAGGAAACATGTCGTTCAAACCGGAAACCGTAGCATAATGGTGCACACCGGTTTGAGCTTGAACTTGCCCCTGTTCAAAACGGGCTGAACTGACGAGCCAAGACAGGAAGTATTACGTTTGCCGATTCTGTTTATTAATTGAATGTTCCTGTTTTCCTGAAATTAAGGGAAGTGGTAAAAACTAATAATGGACTGAAATGGTTGTCAGAGATACCACATAATGTTGTAACAGCAAATTCCTATAAACCCACCTCCCCATGCCAAAGATATTTAACCTACTTTATTTATTTTGCATCACAATATGTTACAATATGTTATCTAATTAATTTTATCATTGGTAAGATGAAAAAATGAATTTTTTTCCTTCATTTTCCTTAAAAACATGTCCGTGTTTAACAGGAAATTGTAACTGTTTATCAAATAGTATCAAAAGAGTCTCTTTCTGTGACCTGAAATTGCCCTCATGAGATTGAACTTGACGTTCTGAAGAATTTCACCTGCATCAAATCCACAAAAGAGAAAAAAGTCAATTCAACCAATTACAAACAGTGACATAGTGGAATGGGTGGGGACGTGTCTGTTGATTGCACAGTAACTCTCAGCAATGTCTTCAAACCTCATTTTAGCAGCAGAATGAACCTGTCAGCTGCTACTGATTAGTGACAAGCTGACAGTCTGTTAGCTTCACTCCCAACTGATTTACACTACAAGCATTCATGATGGAAGAAGATAAATTACTGCGTAAGCCCAGAGATTCGTTTTTGTAAAGAACATCTGTCTCATCAAAAAATGGTGCTCTCAACACAAAATCAAACCATGCCACTGCTGAGCTGACTGACATTTCTCAGCTAGAATCAACAAACCACTAGATTTGAACCGATATGCTATAACCAAGTGCTGGACACATTGCATCATCTTTTAAGCAATGGAAAGAGCTTCCGTTTCTTTCCTTTTTATTGTTGTAATGATTATAATTAGTGTAATTTTGTATAGTTGCCATAATAACAATAATAATTATTATTTATATTTCTATATTTATTTTATAAGCAATATTGTGAAATATTACTATATATTTTTACATGATTTTTGCTGTATTTCTGATCAGTAATATTGTGAATTATCATTACAATTAAAAAGAACTGTTTTCTGTCAATATATTAAATGCAATATATCTATATTTAGTATATATGAAAATATATATAATATAGAAATACATAATATATAAAATATGAGAATGTCTAATTATTTATGCTGATTGAAAACAAGTTAATGGATGCGTAAATTTTTCGACTCAACAGATCCTGATCCTTCAAAATAGGCCAAATATAGAGGCAATATCAATGATCAAAGATATAAAAAACAAAAACATTTTCTGGGAAGTCTAGCTCACTTGTTCCATTTTTATGAATGGTCCCTCTAGACTCACTGCTTCTATAAATGGACAGTTACACATACAGAAATGTCGACTCCCATGTGTCAAATACATGCATCATGTACACAGTGCAGGTTTTTCCCACTCTAGAGCTTTTTAATGAGGAAAAAGGAAGTGTAATGGTCCAGTTAAAGGGATCATCAAATGCCCCTTCATTTGATTTCCTTTGCATTAGGCCGGCTGCTGGCGTCAGCAGTCTCTCTGTAAATATAATCATAGCTGGTCTGTGTAGGAGTCCACGATTGCGCTCGTATGCATGCGTGTCAGAAGAGGAGATTAAACAGCACTGTCCTACATTCTCAATTTTATGATCCCTAATCATTATGTTGTGCTGTAGACTAAATAAATCTATTGCACATGATTGCTCATTTGACGTACTGCTTGTGACTCATTATTGTTTATACTTGTATAATTTGATCATTATAATGAGAATCAAAGTCCACTTTATTGAGCAACAAGAAGTCCACTTGACGTTGCACAGACAGTTTATGGCTTAAACCAGTTGTTTAAGGATTATTGATATTGATTTAATGGATTATTGATGTCTGCATGTGATTCTAATCAAGCACATTAGATTTTATACATCACTATTCATAAATTCTTTTTGGGCAAAATTCGGTATAGCTTTGTTTTATTTAGTACATTTCTTGAAATATTAACACATGCTTACAATCAGTACAGTATTCAGTTTGGTCATGTTTTATGGCTGCATGATTAATTGAAATGAAACTGAAATGACAAAATGGCTTAGTGCGATTATCAAATTGCAAAGGCTGTGATTTTATTAAATACATATATTAATATAAATACATATACACTGCATGTATAGTTTCAGAGTGAAGTGTGGCACTTTTACACGCAAGTAGCTCATGATCCGGTGTTTTCAGCAGCTTGGTTCATAGTAAATGCAGCCAACTCCAGTTTAGGTCACTTATAACATGCATTTATTATTATATTATTTTTTATTTTACAGTGAAATATTTTAAGTAATATTTCTTATTTTTATGTAGTAATAATAATAATTATTATTATTATTTTATAGTCATATTGCTATATAATCACATTTTTGGCCAAATTGTGCAGCCCTACAAACAAGCATAACAAACCTGGAGTCTTTTTTAAAACCGCATTGTATCAGAAAAATTGCAATATGATTTTTTTCCCCAAATCTTGCAGCCGTATGTTTTAAAACACTACAGAGGCTCTTGGCAGTTGCATTGACTGTACATGTTCTCAGTTTGGATAAACACCTACTAAAAAAAGAACAGAAAGATGAAACTTCTTTAAAACGTGCCACACATCAAGGTCTTTTATGGCATGGTCATAACAGATTTAGCTGAATTCCCCAGAATATTGATTTAATCCATCAGGCCTCTCTCACTTTGACCAGGAAACAATGCTCTTTTAATAAAGCTCCTTGGAAACATATAAGCTTTGGAAATGCTCTACAATGTCAGCAAACAAGTTCTTCATGAGGTCTGAAAATTTGGAAACACCATCAGGGGTGTTTGACTGCAAAGACGAGTAGGAATTCCTGGAATTTGTGTAGTGAGGGTTCCCACAGGAGCTATGTGATCCTCACATAGTTTTATCTTTCCTGACCCTTGATAGTACTGTAAGTGAAGTCACCATCACTAGCACAACCATTCAGATCAGTGATAGCTTTGTAAAGAATGAAACAAGCTTAATTCGGGTATTTTCTGAGGAATAACTCTTGTGGAAGTGTTCGTCATGACACATCTGCAAGATCGGATCAGTTGCTTGTCCTTATGGGCACCAGACATCTGACATGTCCGTTAGTAATAGCACTGCAGTCTTTTACAGTCATGATTTCTACATGGTCCCTGATGGAGGGAACTTCCTCCCCGGTATGTAATGAGAAAATCTTTGTCGAATTGGCGGGAAAGGAATGTTCCAAAGTTCCATTTAAGCTGTATCCTAAGTCTTGGAATTCCGTTTGAGGCCTGGTTTTTGGTGGCATTTGCTTCGTAAATTTGTCACAGGAAACCATGGCAGGAATGGGATTGGCGTCCAACACATAGCCATTGGACACTGCACAAGAATTCTCAATCACACTGACTGCAGCAGAAGAAGCAGCCATGCCTCCGTTGCTGTTACCAGTGGCCTGTCTGTTTTCATGCCACAGGAAGTGCCGTCGGATGATCCTTCGGAAGGTGTGTCTGAAGTCACGTATTCGGTAGGCGTATATAAACGGGTTCACTACTGAATTAGCATGTGAAAGCATTATGGCCAGGTACATGACCCAGTCCTGAGGTCGAGCACACCGTGGACAGAACAGTGTGAAGCAGTTAATAATATGCAAAGGGAGCCAACATACAGCAAAGAGGCCCACGATGATAGCAAGCGATTTGGCCGCGTGGACTTCCCTTTGCAGTGATGAGGATCCCTCCCTGTGGGCATGTCCTTGCAAGTGTACTAGTTTCTGCTTCATCTGTCTGAGCTGGTGACGGGCAGCCATGAAGATCCGTGCATAGATGGCCAGCATGGCAAGTAGCGGAGTCAAGACGCAGCCGAAAAAGTTGAAGTAAACCATGTAACCCATGGTGACCACCTTCTCGAACAGGCACTCCGTCATACCTTGAGGACAGGAGCTGTTGGTGCCCGCGGCGACATGCCTGTTCCAGCCTAGCATGGGGGTCAAACCGATGACCACTGAAAGTATCCAGCATACCGCAATGATGCCTTTGGCTCTTCGGCCTGTGACAAGACTGTTGTACCTTAGCAAGACAAAACAAAAACAAACATGAGACAGCAATTTTGGTAGGAAGTATGCTATGGAGCACTATATAGTGATCAGTGGCAGCTCATCGGGGGAGCTAGGTGATAGAGAAGGGGAGGGGGAGGCTGGGGGAGAGCTGAGTTCTCGTGCCTCCGTTGGTAAAAATTAGCCAATCAGCATCGAGTGTTCACTTTCAGCGCTGAGGAGTGTGGAGAAAAGAAACCTCATAAGGGAGGCTAGCTTCCCTTCTGATATCAACCAATCATCATAGAGACGTAAATTACGTGATATTAGTTTGAACGTCTCCCGCTGCGCTGATAATGTACCAAGTACTTATGATGAGTAGCGATATACAATTAGTGTGCCTCCTCTATTTTAAAACCCACGAGCCGCCACTGATAGTGATAAGCATGCAAAGTTTGGTCATATATTACAACTCTATCTTCCTCAAACAATATGTTGATGTTTTCTGAAGTCCATCCTGGAGTGGGACGTATTTTGCACACAGTGCGTGAATACTGTCAGGGCTGGAAAAGGCTGCGCCATTTTTTTCCCAAATCAACACATGCATGCACTGACTTTGCTCCTGGGAAATGTCCATTGTTTAGGTGTTAAGCTTTGGTAATGGCTGCCAAAGTAGAAAATACCAGGATATGTGCTTATAGAACCATATATTTCACCTGTATTGTGCCTATTCTTAAAATAATACTTGCAGGCCTTGTTTCTTAACTTAACCTTAATCTTTTCAGTGATATAATTACAAAACCATGAGAAGAATTAAATTGTTCAATTAAATCAGGGTTTTTCAGCTGGAAAAGATTAAAAACTGTTCACAGTCTTTTTATAGGAGGCAAAAAAGCAATCCAATTATTCAGCCTTAACTATTAAAGAACATTACAAAAAAACAAACAAAATTGAGTCATTCAAGATTTGGACTACACTGGCCACACTACATGTTTTTGACTTCCTAAAAAGAAATGACTCTTAAAGGCACAATATGTCATTTTCGCCGCTGGAGGGCGCGTATTCAAAATAAACAAATAGACAAAGGCGTAGTTTGATGACGCCGTGACTGAGTGTGGAATCATGGGAGTTGTCGTCTTCATCCCCACAGCCGATGCAATCTTACGGGACTCGGGCAGAAATCATGTTTATGGATGAGCTAATGATTTATTAACATAGTAGAATGAAGCAGGGTGAGGCTGAAAGCCGCCGAAGCAAAACGAGGCCACTGAACGAGCGCGACACACGGCTCGAAAGCAGCGGAGCTTTTATTATG